TTTCTATTTTTCCAAATTAAAGCTAATTAATCTTTCAAAAAAATAGGGTCATCGACGATTAGTTGAAGCTATTTCAAATGTTTATTCACCATATTTTAATCGAAAAATTGATCCATTAAATGAAATTCTAGTTACTGGTGGTGCTTATCCATCACTTTTCAATTCTATTCATGCTTTTATTAATCCCGGTGATGAAGTAAAATATTTTTCATCATTTCTACAATGTTTTCTGACACTCATAAACATCTATAGGCTATTCTAATTGAACCATTTTTTGATTGTTATGAACCAATGGTGCGTTCAGCGGGTGGTACTCCACGATGCATAGCACTTAAACCGGTACTTACCATCGTTTTTCTTTTCTTATTAATTTACTTTTTTTTGAAATTCTCCTTAATTATATCTAGAAACCTGAATCAACCAAAGCTGATATTTCATCAAGTTTCGATTGGGTACTTGATAAAAATGAATTAGAATCATTGTTTAATTCTCGTACTCGTCTTATTATTGTCAATACACCAAATAATCCTGTTGGAAAAGTATATATACATATATTTTTATTTTTATAAAACAGAATAAAAGTTTATTTGTAATTAACAAAAAAAAACACAGGTTTTTACACTTGAAGAACTTGAATATATAGCAAGTTTATGTCAAAAACATAATGTTATTTGTATATCCGATGAAGTTTATGAATGGATCGTATATGATGAAAATAAAAAACATATACGTATTGCAACATTACCAAATATGTGGGAACGAACATTAACAATCGGAAGTGCGGGAAAAACATTTTCATCAACTGGTATAAAATTAGGTTGGACTATTGGACCACCACATCTTATTCGTTCATGTCAAATTGTTCATCAAGTAATTTTATACATTAAGAGGAAGAATAAAAAAAAAACAATTAGAACCATTTTTCATTGTTAGGATTGTGTTTATACATGTCCAACAATATCACAAGAAGTTGTTGCACGTTGTTTTGAATATGAATTAAAACGTATAAATTCTCCTGAATGTTATTTTAATTCAATATCAAATGAATTTCTTGAAAAACGTGATAAACTTGTTCAAGCTTTAAAAGAATGTGGCATGAAACCAGTTATACCTGATGGAGGATATTTCGTTCTTGCAGATTATAGTCAATTTGGTTTGTTTAAAAATGATTTGATTTGTCTTTTACCAGAGAAAATATGTTTTCTGTTTTATATTAAATAGCTGGTGATAAATTTCAATCGGATGCTGATGATATGAAAGATTTTAAATTTGTTCGATATTTAACTAAAGAAAAAGTAATTAATTCATGTAGAAAGAATTGAAAATACTCTTTTTTTCTATTTCAGCAACTTGCTACTATTCCTGTCACAGGTTTTTATACAGCTGAACATCGTCATTTAGCTGAAAATTATATTCGATTTTGCTTTGCTAAAGTAAGTTTCAATGATATAATTTCTATAAATTTTTTCTTTTCTTCTTTTATATTAGAAAGATGAAACACTCGACAAAGCAATTGAAATTCTTCGAAAACTTAAAACAAATTAAAAAATTATTAAATACTTAATAGTGAAAAACAAAAAAATGACTCTTATTTTTTTTTCTTAAATTTGCCTTGACCAATGCCACATTTATAAAATCGTAGTTGTTTATTGATCATTTATGCAGTTTGAATGTTTTTCTTCTCACCAAAGTGATATATCAAAATATATCTTAATACTTTGGTTGTTAAATAACCAACATATTGCTTTTGTACTCTACGATCCATAAAATTCTACTGTTGTATTTGCATTAGAAAAATTAATGTACCGATGGATTTAATGAACAGTGTAGAAATAATGAGACAGAATAAGACTAGAAATGCAATACGAAACAGAATGTTTGAATGGCGTACAAAACGAAGATTCAATAAACGTTGTTTGAAGTGTAGATAAGTTTTGATCAAAATACAAACGATGTTATTCCAGTTGAACAATATAGTACCTATAAGGCGTAGTTTCGATTGTGTTTAAAAAGAATATGATCGCTTACGACGCTGTATTACAATGGTCAGCATCGCAATAAATACGGATGATCGCAGCCATCGTCTCAGATGAGAGTACACTTTGAGTCATTGATGATAATCCTTCATAGTACTGTTTATTCTCATAGAAGATTTGATAGCTAATGATTAGATCAAGTTCGAACTACTTGAAGAAGGAATTTGGTAGAGTTATCTTAATTTAATTTTCATTTATTGAAATTATTATGAAAATCAACAATTCTTACATAGAGTTTGAGGAAATAATTGTTTAAGCTTATCCCCCAAAATGAAGATCTTCTTCACATTCTATTCATATAGTCGAAAACAACACGAATCAATTGTATTTTAAACGAGCTTCTTTTCCTTACATTGCAGAACTGACAGATGTTATGAGTACTTTTATGAACACGGGGTGTGGGTGTGGGTGTGAGTGAGTCTGTATGTGACTCTGCTCTTAACTCACACTTTCATAGCCACACACACACCCACCCCCACCCTATTAGATAAAGTTCTTTCTTTTTCTCTATTAAATTATATATTTCGATCAATTATCATTAATTTTACTGATAGGAGTCAAAAATTTTCAATCGACTTTTATTTTGTCCAAAAACTACATGAATGCAATAGAGAAAAAGATATCTTTTGTAGAACTTTAAAAGATCTATGAAAAAAGAAATAGAGGAGGCAGATCAAACAAATTGATTCAGTCATCTATAGATAAGCAGATCAAAGTGAAAGTTTTGTAAATCTCCTAACTTTCTTCTCAACTGATGATTTACTTCGAAAATATTGATATCAAATGCTATCAAAATTTGATGCTTTTCTTTAACCAAAAAGTAATTGACTAAAGGCAATAGTTCCTTGAAAAGAGCAACAACAATTATATTCGATATGAAAAGAAAAAGGCATGCTTAGTCTGTGAAACCATGAGTCTTCTTTAAAAGACAACAGTTGGCGAAATTAACTTTATCACTCAGTGGACTTATCTCAATGTACGAGGAAACAGTAGTTAAGAAAAAACACTTTTCTTATATGAGCGCATAAGTAAATTTATAGAAATCATGACTTTTCAGAAGAATTTGAACAGTTTGTTCAAGATTTTTATTAATAAAATTACTAGCAATCAAAAAATTTGTGTATAAATACTACATTGTATGGAAATAACGATTAAGGCTAATGATTCAAATGTTTCTCTGACTAGCGAATACTTGAGTAGGAGTTAACAGACATGTTTTTTTTTGTTTTCAATGCATAGTTTTTTAAATACTTGCAAAGTTCTCTTTTTCTTTTGAATAACTTTTGAAAAATTTATATTCCAAATATTCAAACATAAAATTTTTTTTGCCAAAAAATATAAGATTTTCTTAAGGTTAATTAAAGAACAGAGTGAATATTTGCGATACAAGTCAATTCCAATTTTATCTGAATTTTCAATTATTCAGGAGAAATATATTTATTTAAGATTAGAAGACTTAACTGCTAATATCTTAGAGTTTCTGAATTTCGTCGATGGCCAATTTCTGAGAAAGAATGTCATCTTATATTACAATAAAACTGAATGATCGAGTTTATGATCCTGATGATTCTTAAAAGTAGATATCAATGACAATTATTAGCTAGAAAAATGTGAATGAGATTGATTGATCTATTCAGAAGAGACAGATAATAAACTGTAACTGTGGAAAAATATTTTCTTAGTCTAGAATATTTGCAACGACTTGCTTGTTAAAACAAAACGCAAATTAAATTGATAATTGTCCCAAAATCAAAAAAAAGAAACACTTCTTCAGAAGAAAAAGTGAAGAATACAACGAATTCCTAGATAATAGAATGTATGGCTTTGCAGATGAACCGAAAACTCACACCTTATTGTATATATTTCTGTTTAAATTAAATTTTATGAGAAAAAAATTTTTTATTTTGTATCGTCACATGTATGCAAAGTTTACTATGTCAACAACAAAAAAAATATTTGAAACAAAATTAAGTAAGTTAGAACACAAAATTTAAATCACGAAAGTAGATTGTGAGAAAAAAAGTTTTGAAGCTAATCGTCTCTCCTATTCTCAGTCATGAAAATAGAACAGGATTCAACATCATACTATTCATTGAAACAACGACTTCTTCCATAAACATATATTAGTAATTTTGAAAAAATGAATAAATATAGATAGGCATATGAAAAAAAAATGATTAGGTAAGATATAATCATTTTTGTAAAGTTGTGATGTTATATGTGATTATCAAACGATGTTCGATGAAATATTTTGCAAAGCGATCAATTTACATTTATAAACATTTACCAAAAATCCAGAAATAAATATAAAATAAAATCTAAATATGTTTGAAGTATTCTAGAATGTGTTTACAAGCCTTTTAGTATCTTTAGAATGTAACAGGAACATGGTGCGATCATTTTCTTAAAGAATATTCTTTAGTGATGATTGGATTTTCGTTATTTATGATTTATTTTTTCTGAAATCATGCATTTTGATGATTGTATCGTTGAGTTTTAACTTATGCTTTTCATTAAAAAAATTCTCAGACATTTAAAATCTAAAATAATTTTACAGGATAATACCGCGCTTGTCAAGCATCGAACTGAATTCGAACCTGTGGAAGTTGATTTGATTCCTTTCCCTGATAGTTATCGTTAAATACTGTCAATGATGAATTGCTTTTTACATTAAAATATTCAATCTTTTTTGTATTGATAACAAAATAATAAAAAGTATGAATCATAAATCAAGAAAAAAGAATTGTTATTTGAATAAAAGAAAAACAATTGTGTAGTGTGAGACTTTTTGAATTTATCATTTTCAATGGATTTTCAGAAAACAGTTCAATAGGATGAAGTATGGTAGCTGCTTTTTACAACTAATCTACTAAATCAAAACGATTCAAAGATTGTAGATGTGGTTAAACAGAATATCAACATCTATACTCACATTCTTCTTGATATTATTAAAAGTACTGGTTATAAATGCAAGTTTTAATCCAGATTTGTGCAACTTTTTCTTAAACTCTAACGACATGGTTTAGAAAAAGTTTTCGTTAAAACTTCAATGGCTAAAATATGTTTAATGGATACATGTAATCGACTTATTTACTAGTTAAATCAATGATTGAAAGCATAATAAAACATACGATATGAAATATAAATCAATAAGCCAAACAGAAATTAGAGCACAAAATAAATGACAATCTATTCTGATTGGTTTTAGAAAATTTTGATATGATTGTTATAATAGAGACAGATTCTAGTAAAAAGAAAAAAAGTAGATAAATTAATTTTTGTTGCTGTGTTTCCATTTTATGAATCAATATCTTTAGTCTTTATTGAGGATGCGGGCATGTATGACAGAGGGAGAGAGAGTATATGGTTCATCAACATATCCAAACAACATCTGCATCCACACCGTATTTTGAATGTGTTCAAGTAAATCAGCATATAATTCCCTTTTCTGAAAGAAAGGGTCTTATAATCGAAAAATGTATG